TTTTTTGGCTCCTCGACAACTTGCTGCAGGAGAGGATCGAGCGTGCTGATCCGCGGCTTCGCCAAGTCTTTATCACCGGCGACTTCTCGAGCGTGATGATGGTACACGAGCGACGATTTTCCGATGATGGGGGTAGATTCTCGATGGTGGAATCCATCTCCTTCTCCCCATCGCACATTCTCAGCCGACCGAGGCGATGCCACTGAGATACGCCCGTCGCCGTCGAGGAGGGGAAGAACCGACGCCGTCAGGTGAGCCTGCAGATGCAGAGACGAGGGCCATGGCTAAAGTTTCGGCTCTTAATCTGGGTTCATGTTAGAAAAAACTGGAAACTGGAACTATTTTCAGTATATGTTCGATATATGTTCAGTATATGTCCCCAATTTCTGCTAGTATATTTTGAGTAATGTTTGGTATATTTTGAGTAAAAATATGTTGCGTATATTTTTGAGTAATGTTTGGTATATTTTTTATTTTAATCGACCAGTCATTTTATTTTTGTGGTATATTTGCATAACTTTTCTTAAGAAAAAGATTGATCGCGCCTCTATCGTTTATGTTGTGTTGTGGTATATCTACAGTATATGTTCGTTATATGTACAGTATATGTTAAATATATATGTATAGTCGCAGAATAAAAATTCTGATTTTTTTTTCCTGGTAACATCCCGAAAATCATGCTGAGAAGATATGGAATGGAGGATGTTACGATGGTAACTGATTTTTAGGCAATAATGCAATTATTGTTTGTCTATTAAGTATATACATAATTATTTGTTTGTGAATGGTAAATTCTAAATTACTTCAATTTCGTTCGGTATGCTTGCAAATTTCCCTATTTGTTTTTAGCTTTAGTCTTTAATTGTAAAGTATTTTTTGGTTTTTCGTTGGCCCCAAAAAAATTGCAGCTTCAAATGTGTCTAACTTTATTAATATGTTTGTCCAACAAGAAGAAAGTGAGAAAATATTAGTTTATAATCTTGTGTGTATTAATTTGCAGTCAGATAGATGAAAAGATATTTCTTTTCCAAAATAGTATATTGGTGAATAATTGCCAGATGTAGAGAATAAGATCAATGTGACACATTTTAATTGCTGTAATTTATGGAGTTCTCTGTTGTTGAAGCCAAAATCAGTCAATATTGAACAAAAAAACAAAACCACATCTGGATGTTGAAGCCTGTCAACCGCACCTTCTCTCTCAATTCCTTTTGCTTTATTCATTAGGTGACAGTAGTCACCAATTAAAGTCATCACTGGACGAACATCTAATATCAAGAAACATTTTCCTTTGCAAGCTCCCCAACAATGTGATAGGAGACAACTTCACCATGTATATGTATCCAGAAGAGCACTACACTATGAAAACAAAGGAAAATGACATGAAATTAATGAAATAAAATTTGCAAAATCATAGTAGTTGTATATAACCTAAAAAAAATTCATAACTAACACCATAAGCACCACCTGCACATGAAAACATAAATTTGACATATATTCATTGGTTTGTACAAAAAGCCTTACAACCTAACGATGAAAAATGAACATTTTAATATAATCACACAAAACATTTCAGTAAAAGATAAACCTTCTCGCTCTTACATACCTTCGATGAAGACTATGAGTTCCCTTCTTATGGGTTTAAATCTATAATCCAAGGAACAAAAAGAAAAGAAAAAGCCAAAAATGGTTAAGTTCGTATCAATAATAAAAGAATCAAGGAGAAGGGCAACCAAGGGGCACCAGATGTAAGATACGTTTGTCAATAAGGTAAAACTTGTCTAATGGATGTTGTTGGACTGCTGCACGACATTTAGAGAGCAACTCAATTTTATTTTCTTCTTAACTGAGGTTTAAATCTTGTTGAGTTTGCCGAACTTGTTACTCTGAGTTTTGAATTTGTTCCAAGACATCAAAATACTTCACCTCATATCAAGCAGGACTCATAAATGAAAAATAACACAACACTATATAACCTTCAATGATGGCTAAGAAAGAACTTGTTGGGGGATTCAGTCGTCACCTTTTGCTGCCAAGCATCTCTCAGCATCCAACCTTGGACCAGTAAGACCAGCATATTTTCCTACCCAAAATTTAGAGGTAAGTAAAAGATGAATGTGGACATATTAGTTTATCGAGCATATTCTAGAAGAAGCCTGTAGGTTGGTTGTTATAAGTTCGAAGGAATTTATAAGAAATTAGTAGATTATTGTTGTAGAACAATCGTAAAAAGTAAAAGAAAAGCAGAGCATTTTAGCTAGAAAGAGAATACCCAAAAATTTGTAGGCCAAGCATAGGGTCCTAAAAATGTATTTTGTATATCTTCCCATGGTCGGCCTCAATTATCCAACCCCTTTCAGAATATAGAATCATTTCTCATATTCAGAGTAATATTTAAGCATATAATCTTTCCTTCAGTAACTGATTTGAGAAAACACAAACGAAAAAAGAATAACAAAATATGCAAAGTGAAGAAATTACCGATCAAGAACAACAAATTGGTGGGGCTAACAGCAGGTCAAGAAACACACACAACAACCTTGAATCTTTCTAGCTAAAATGCTCTGCTTTTCTTTTACTTTTTATGATTGTTCTACACAACAAATTGGTGGGGCTAACAGCAGCTTCCCTCATACTCATGAAACATCGACACAACCCATTGGTGGGCTCAAATGCTCTGCTTTTGTTTTACTATTTCTCATAACAATTAAAAGAGTATGAGATAGGACGTGTAGATTTACCTGGCCACCTACACCTCCATACTCATGAAACATCGACAAATCATCATCTGTTAGGGGAGTCAACAGGTTATTGAAGGTAGGGGGCTGATTTGATCTTCACTCAGTGATTGAGTTGTGGATGGACTAGCTGCTGCAACAGTTATAGCACGACTTTGATCATCCCAATCCGCTTCGTTAAATGGCGCCCCACATTGCGCACCATGCTTTGGGCTTGGACCATTCTTTTGGAAGAGTTTATATAGAACATATGTATCCTACAAAATACTATTCAGTTATTACAACAAAAATAATCTATTAATATGCATCACGTCTAGGAGGAAGAGGATCTGGTGTCGGAGATGGGGAAGAGGCAATGCAAGCAAGGTAGCTTGCTTACTCTCCATCTAGCGTGCATTGGCGGCAAGGAAAGAGGCATTGGAAAGACCGGCGAATCAGAGAAAAACAAAAGGGGAGGTTCGATGTAATTGACGAGTTCGCCAGGCTTTTTGTTTTGGATTGAAGAAGCCGAAGGGGTGCCAAGGCCTCGAAAGCCTCTTTGAAAGCCGCTGTTTAAACTGATCCTCGATGTAATTGACCTCTTTCGACACCCAGCCCTTCTTTCAGTTCAATCAATCCAACCGCATCCTTGCATTCTCACCGCACACATTAAAGAAAGAAAATACTTGAATCCCTTCGGCGGCTAACTGCTGATCAAGAATCTGATACTCGTGTAACACCCAATCTGTCATTTCCCTCGGGGTAAATGACCTACGTGAAACACCAATGTCTTTATTGTTCCGACTATTCTAGTGTTCTGGTGCACAGGTCGGTCTTTTCTGGACGTTTTCAGTAGCGCGCTTCACTAGAGAACCGCTTGGGCACTTCTCTCTTCGACAGAAAAAGAACCATTGTAGATCCTTACTTTTCAAGCAAGATTGATCTGCATTTGTGAAATAATGACAAGTCAGCAAACACTAAACATATACGAGGGCCAAAGTATCAGAACTCAGCTTGACTGACATTGTTAAAAAAGTTTTAGAATCCAAATTTAAATTGAACTTCTAACGTACAAAACAACAATTAATATAAGTTAAATTGTTTCGAGTTACAATTTACACACATTCAAATCTTACAGAAAATGAGAAGTCAGATCCCACGGAGAGAATCTATAGATATTAACCTCTCGCAATAGCTTCCATGTTGAATTTCTTACCTCTTTCGCTTGAAATAGTATAGTACCAGCTCCTGATCAGTTGGATGAAAACAGAATCCCGACAGAAGGTATGTGCTCACCATAACAACCCCTACCCCAACTATACCTGTTGTGCCCACAAATGTTCAAAACAATCTCTTTTAGCATTTGAGTTAAAAGAAAATAAAGAATGTATTGACTAGTTCAATCACATTTTTTGTAGGCCGAGTTTTTTGGGATTCAGGTTTCCTGAAGAACAGCAGGAATTAATCTCAATACAAACCAAAAGACTAGTACCCTACCTATTGTGTGCTGCTGAACATACTTACATAAGTATGTTATAAGAATTGACACAAGATCATGTGTTCACAGGCTAATATCATGACATCACTGCCCTATTAAGATAGAAATTCATTAAAGGAATATACTAAAGGCTTGTGATATAGTGTTTCTTTTTTTTTCTTTTTTTTTTAAGTTTATCTGAGGGGTTAAATTACTTTGTTGGAAACCAATTCGGTAAATGACAAGCTGGGCTCGACCAGGCCTTTCTCCGACGATATTCGTCAGCTAGCCGGAGCTTTCTCCAGTGACCCTCGGGGTCTTAAATAGGCTATAAAATTCTTATTTTAACCAAGGCTAAAAGCTTCGAAATTTGGCAACCTAAACCACAGGGTCGTTGGAGAAAGCTCCGGCCAGCTAACGAAAATCGTCGGAGAAAGGCCTGGTCGAGCCTAACTTGTCATTTACCGAATTGGTTTCCAACAAAGTAATTTACCCCTCGGATAAAATTTAAAAATAAAAAAATAAAAAATAAACACTATATCACAAGTCTCTAGTACTTTATTCCCTTAATAAATTTCTATCTTGGTAGGGCAGTGATATCATGATATTAGCCTGTGAACAGATGATCTTGTGCCAGTTTTATAGCATAAGTATGTTCAGCTGTCAGCAGGTAATGTACTAGTCTTTTGCTTTGTATTGAGATTAATTCTTGTTGTTCTTCAAGAAACTTGAATCCCCAACAACTCGGCCTAGAAAAAATGTTATTGAACTAGTCAATACATTCTTTATTTTCTTTTAACTCAAATGCTGAAAGAGATTGTTTTGAACATTTGTGAGCACAACAGGTATAGTTGGGGTAGGGGTTGTTATGGCGAGCACATACCTTCTGCCGGGATTCCGTTTTCATCCGACCAACTGATCAAGAGCTGGTACTATACTATCTCAAGCGGAAGATCATGGGTAAGAAATTCAACATGGAAGCGGTTAATATCTATAGATTCTCTCTTTGGGATCTTCCAGGTGTCACTCTGGCTAGATTTGAATGTGTGTAAATTGTAACTCCAACCAATTAAACTTATACTGATTGTCGTTTTGTAAGTTAGAAGTTCAAATTAAATCTGGATTGTAAAACTCTTTTAACAATGTCAGTCAAGCAGAGTTCTAATACTTCTATTGGTAGGACTCTCGTATATGTTTAGTGTTTGCTGACTTGTCATTATTTCACAACTGCAGATCAATCATGCTTCAAAAGTAAGGATCTATAATGGTTCTTTGTCTGTCGAAGAGAGAAGTGCCCAAGCGGTTCTCGAGTGAAGTGTGCTACTGAGAAAGGCTACTGGAAAACGTCCGGAAAAGATCGACCCGTGCACCACAACACTAAAATAGTCAGAACAATAAAGACATTGGTGTTTCACATAAGTCATTCACCCGAGGGGAAAGGACAGATTGAGTGTTACACGAGTATCAGATTCTTGATCAGCAGTTAGCCGCCGAAAGGATTGAAGTATTTTCTTCTTGATCAGCAGTTAGCCGCCGAAAGGATTGAAGTATTTTCTTTTTCTTTACGTTGATCACGTGATGCATATTAATAGATTATTTTTGTTGTAATAACTAAGAATACAACTAAGAGTATTTTGAAGGATACATATGTTCTCTATAAACTCTTCCAAAAGAATGGTCCAAGCCCAAAGCATGGTATGCAATATGGAGCGCCATTTAACGAAGCGGATTGGGATGATCAAATTCGTGCTATAACTGTTGCAGCAGTTGGTCCATCCACAACTCTGATGATGATTTGTCGATGTTTCATGAGTATGGAGGTGTAGGTGCCCAGGTAAATCTACACGTCCTATCTCATACTCTTTTAATTGCTATGTGAAGTATGAGAAAAAGTAAAAGAAAAGCAGAGCATTTTAGCCCCCACCACTTTGATGATTTATCTCATACTCTTTTCATGATTTGTTGTTGTGTAAATCTACACAACAACAAATTGGTGGGGCTAACAGCAGGTCAAGAAACACACACACACACAACAAATTGGCGGGGCTAACAGCAGCTTCCCTCATCTCGTCATGTAACTGCATATGAGGAACTCCTCGAAGGCCTCTGGGAAAAGGTGGTTCGTGGACCAGAGACTGGAGCATGCCGCTGTGTGGAAACCCTTTGGTGGGGATTGGGGGCCCTCGATTTCTTGCCGACATTATTTTTTCAACGATTGGTGTTCTTGAATCTTCCAATAAAATAAAGACTAGCTTCTACACATAGAAAATATGCTAAAGTAAACTGAAAACCAAAATGGACAAGAAAAAAGAATATAAGGAACAGAGTATTCAGGACAAAAATAATGCGAATAAAATGAATCTGATAAATAACAATTCGTATGTGATAAGAACAACTCAGGTCCCCAAGAAATTGAAAAGGGATATCTTAATTAGGTGAGCTAAAACCCTCCAACCCATATCATTATGCAAATCGTTGCACAATGGCAGTAAAAACCCTCCTCCAGGAAGCAATTCCAATAGGATACCAGAAAATAATTTGGAAATCTTTTCTTTTGAGTACAATTAACCGAAGAAAAAAAAGAAGAAAATCAGGCATAAATCATAGCTTCATTACTGAGATTACACGCACAGGATGAATACAAGCTCTGCACAGATAAAAGCTAATAATAGAATGGCGTCGTGACTTCGAACCACATACCACTTACAAATTAAAAGCGGGTCGAATAATTCAGTGATAACCGAGAATTTCCCCCTTTTTGCGATGCAAATATATTAAACTCCGAACCCTAATTCCAAAAATCAAGATTCTACTGCTACGAAATTAGCTGTAGGACGGCAAACGTGTTTGTCTATCTCTCTCAGCGTTCAACCTCGCCTCGCAGAAGTCTTAAAAAGAGACTAAAAATTGGAAGCGGACAGCCTTTATAAGGGTGGGTTTGATAAATTCGGAGCTCCAACTCTGCGTTATTAACTTATTATGGTGTTTTATAAATAATAATAATAATAATAATAATAATAATTATAATAATTTTATGTTATTGAATTAAATATAAGTCAAATAATATTTTCAATTAAACTATTATTCGACATTAAGAATACTTCAAAATAATGAGATAAAAAGAGAATGTTTCGTGTGATTAAAATGTAGCGCAATTGAAGAATAAACTCGATTATTGCTTCAATCTACTTTAAAGTAGTTTTTTTTCCTTAATAACTTAAAAACTCAATAGAATACAAACGAGGAAACTTAGTACCGAGGAAGAGAGGAAGAGCCTCCATGAACACGCCGGAGGGCTCGAAAACAGGATCCAAGGAGAGACCTCTCATGGCTACGCTCATCCGACCGGCCCGACAGTCCTACTTTTTCTTTGTTACAAAAAAGGGAGGAAAAAACAATGAAAATGGAAAGCATGACGAAAATTCTCTACGGACACTGTGCACACGCTAGTCGTACCTGTGTCTGGGTTACCTAGCTCAACTTCGAGGTTGATCGTACCCATAGGTGAAATGGGTGCCCCTCCAATTCCTGTCAAGGGTGTCCCGGTGTGTACGCCTTGAACGCGAGTGCGTAGTCTTGAGCTTAGATACATCCACACTATATGCCCAAACAACCATTCCATTTCAAAGGATAAGGATGTGTACGTGCTCTCTCTATTAAACCATCTAGACTAAACGGTGAGGTTTACATGTTCGGCGGGAAATCGACGGACAGTCAGATCAGCTGACCCCATGGCTAGCGGACCCTCATGGCTGTATGTAGCCTGGCGGCCACATCCCTCAGGGTGCAGAGTTGATGGACGACGGCGGCCAAATATATCCTTAAATATCGGGCAACAAACTGATTGAGTGCGGAAGATGATAATTTACCAGTAAAAAAAGCTCCGCCCAAAAAACTCTAAAATAGAAAAAAAAAAATGCCTATCCCTTCACCTCCTTTCTCCTACAGGTGTCCACAGCCTCCCTGTTCGGCTATGGTCGAAGTCAGAGGAGACTTTCCACCACTCTTTGCCATCGCGTGGAGTGTTCATTGCAGGCTAGGGAGGGGTCGTCGTCCTGTTCTTCATCTTCCAGCTTCACGCTGGACCAGAAGTCACTTCCATGGCCGTCTGTTCTTCTTCTTTCCGGCTGAAGCCTCCCGGAGGTGGTGCACCATCCTTCGGCCTTGGCGGTGGCGGTTTGCCATGCTGATATCTTCTTTCGTGGCGGTTTCCCCCTCTCCCCTCCCCCGGTGTTAAAGGTCTTTGGAGCTAAGATTTGGATTGAGAATCGCCTCCTCGCCAGCTATATATGTCTAGGGTGTTCGAGTTTGGCAGCAGTTTTTGGGTTTGGAGTCTTTGTTTGCAGTTTTGTTGGGTTTCTGTGTTGTGGGGTGTTGCTCGTGTGCCGGATTGGGTGGTTGTGTGGTTTGCCTGATGGGTTTAAGGGAGGTCATACTCTATTTGTTTGTAGTGTATGCGTAGTTTTTGTTTTTCTTGGTTTTCGTTTTGGTCAAGTTGTGTCTAACTTAGTTTCCTATATGACGATGGTGTTTCATTTATGGAGTTTTGTTTAGCGGGTGCTTGTGTCTCCTTAATGAAGTTTGTTCCCTTTTGGCCATATGTGTAATTCTAAGGGATAGATTCAGGCTTTGTTCTGATTCCAATGGTGTTCGTTGACATTTCAATTCGTACATTTTCGAGTTATAAGTTATTAATATAGTTATCCTCTGAAAAAAAAAAAAAAAAAAAT